TTTCACCACGGTGTTGATGTGACAGGACCATGACAGGTCCTGCGTGATGTGAACTCCGAGGTATTTGAAGCTGTCCACTCTCTCCACTGGGCACTCGTTGATGACGGGGGTCTGGTAGTTCCTCTCCTGCTTAGTGCTGAAGTCCACTATCAGCTCCTTTGTCTTACTGACGTTTAGAAGGAGGTTGTTCCTCTGGCACCAGTTCTCCAGATTCCTAATCTCCTTCAGGTAGGCCGTCTCGTTGTTATCAGAGATCAGGCCCACCACGACGGTGTCGTCAGCAAACTTGATGATGGTGGTGGAGCTGGTAGTGGCCACGCAGTCATATGTGTACAAAGAGTACAGCAGGGGGCTCAGAACACACCCCTGGGGGGCTCCAGTGCTGAGAGTGGTGGAGGCTGAGACATGTCCGCCCATCCTTACTGCCTGTGGTCTGCCAGTTAGGAAGTTGGAGATCCACAGACACATAGATGAGCTGAGTCCCAGATGCTCCAGCTTGGTGGTGAGTGTGGAGGGAATTATGGTGTTAAATGCAGAGCTGTAGTCTATGAAGAGCATTTTAACATAATTTCCCCTTCTAGTGTCCAAGTGAGTGAGTGATGTGTGGAGGAGATGAGAGATGGCATCGTCTGTGGAACGATTTGGACGGTAAGCAAACTGTAGTGGGTCCAGTGTGTCTGGTAGTGAAGAAATGATGAAGTCTCTGACCAGGCGTTCAAAGCACTTCATCACTACTGAGGTGAGGGCTACAGGGCGATAGTCATTGAGAGAAGCAGGGTGGGGTTTCTTCGGGACAGGAACAATGATGGACTCTTTGAAGCATGTGGGGATCACCGACTGAGATAGAGAGATGTTGAATATCTCAGTGAACACAGGAGCTAGCTGGTATGCGCAGTCTCTTAGGATACGACCTGGGATGCCGTCTGGTCCTGCTGCTTTCCTGGTGTTCACTCTCTTGAAGGCTCTCCTTACTTCATGCTCGGAGATGACGAGCACGTTTCCGGTGCTGGCAGTATCTTCCTGTCTGCAGCCGTTAGCGCCGCTAACACTAGCATTGTTGGAGTCCTTAGCTGCAGCCTCGAAGCGAGCATAGAAAGTGTTCAGCTCATCTGCCAGAGTCACGGCCGCGTTCGTCATACCGGTTGTTGGTGCTTTATAGTCCGTTATTGTCCTTAGTCCCCGCCACAGGCTCCTAGAGTCACTCTGTTGGAGTTGTGACTCTAGTTTCCTCCCGTAGCACTGCTTCGCCTCTTTCACCGCCCTCCGCACGTTATATGACGCGGCTTTGTACGGGTCCATGTCCCCCGTCATGAGTCCCGTGTTGTAGGCAGCGGTGCGGGATCTCAAAGCGTCGCGGATGGTTTTATCCACCCACGGCTTCTGGTTGGGAAACGTTGTGATAGTCATCATGTTTAGGTGGAAACAAGCAATCTAACTTTAACTCTGTTAAATGTCATATATTCTGTTTTCATGGATGCCTGGATGTTACACCTGGTAAAGCAGCCGCACTGATCATTTTATTAAAGATGAAAGAATTTAGACAGTTTGTAACTCTCAGTGATGCTGCAGAGTTCCTTTGACTTTGGGATCCTGCAGCAGAGTTTGGACCTGGAAATGGCTAATGACATCAAACTTAATGGCCGGATAGCATTTCTATTGCTTAATGCATAATTGTGTTGTGAATATTCATCCTTAATCTGTGAAAAAGCATAAGGTTCAGAAAAATTATAGTAATTACAAAATGGTACATTTCAGGCTAGAATAGCAAAGGGGAACCTGTCAGTAGAGCAACGAAGGAGAAGGAACAGGGATGATCAAAAAAGAAGGAGAGAAAAAATTAACAGCCAGCCTGAGTTGAAGAAAGAGTTTCTCATAAAGGAAAGGGAAAGATATAGAGTGAAAGAGGGAAAAATAAAGAACACCAGTAATCTGAAAGGAAGAGAAAAAAGTCAGAAGAGAAGGTTTTGGAAACAAGCACAGAGAGACAAAAGGAGAGAAAGTCCAGCAGGGTCTAAACACACAACCACAGAGAACTTTAGGAATCAAGGAGTAGTACACAGCAAATTCAAAAGTGTTAAATTTTTTGGTGTTAATAGTCTCCTTGCAAAAGTAGAGTTAATTTTACTCTAAGCAGAGTCACATTCTTTTAATGTAACTCTGAGGTGTAAAATGATAGTAGTTAAAATCGAGTGTTAAAAATGAGTGTTTCTCTGTCAAATCTGGAGGTGTTACAATGGAAACATTAACTCTTGACCTCTTAACTCTGAACTCCTAGAGGGGCTATGACACCAACAGAGTAAATTCACAGACTCCGCCCCCAGCACGGCTCCAATCGAAGCTGAAGTGAAGCCGTTTCAGAACATTTTGCTCTACATATTTGAGTTGTTTGCCATGCTTGGTAAGTCATTTTTTCAAAGATTGTTTCAATTGTTATTATGAGCTTTTACTTCTGTGGCTCTTTGGAGTTGAGACAAAGCTGTGTGAAAGGCATTAGCCATGTTGCTCGCTGATAGCGTAATATTCTGTTTTAGCTAGCTGAAAGGTATTGTTTGCGGGCAAATACCACAGCCTTGAAAAAAAGCTTGCATGTGATTTTTCAGTCAAATCTTTGGTCAAATACACCTAAAACAATGTCTAGAGTGTGAAATGTTGGTATAATGGTGCTGCTTGAAGCCTGAAAATGATCGCCCATAAAAAAAAACAAAAAAAAACGAGCAAACAGCAGTAGCAGGCGTCCTGACTGGATTCTACGTTAGCATAGATCCCTCCAGAGTTTTGTGCACACGGTTTAGGTAAAAATTAAAAAGGTTGAGGTTTTACATTTAGTTCAGTATTACCTGTTGCCTGTGTCTTTGTCTTTTGGGAAAATACTTTACACAAGTAATGGCTCAAAGAGGATTCCTTTTTTTTTTTACTGTGCTGCAATTGTTTACTGGATTATTTGTGCCATTAATTAGTGTCAACTAATTTTTATTCGATCTCCACACAGGATATGCTTGTGAAGATGGAATATGGGGGAGAGCAGAAGTGCGTTGAAGTTCCACAAAGTGATGAATGAAGGACATGCATATTGTATTGAAGAAATAAGTGATGAGAATGCTGTTATTTGCATTTACCATGTCAGACCTTTTGATAAACAAAATTCTAATGAAAGTGAGAACATGTATACTGTTACGTCTTTCAGAAAATGTTTTGAAATTGTGGTGCACAGTTCAGAATAAATGTTTTTCAAAAACCATTGCATCTTTTTAGTAAATGTTTATTTCCAAAAGAAATTTCTAGAAGTTCAGAACAGTAAAATTCCCGCTTTTTAGAATGAATTAGAAGATAACTCTTACGTAGTTAAACTAAAATACTCTTTGAGAGTTAATATATAAACTCTTAACACCAAGTGTTAAATTATCAACTCCAGACAGATTTGGTGTTTAACACTAAATCAGAGTTAACGTACCAACTCTCCAAAAAGAGTTAAATTAACACTCTCTGGTGTGGACCCATATAGACACTTTAATAGTGTTGAAATCAAATCCGACAGTGTTAATTTGGACATGCTGGATTTGCTGTGTAGGCAGCTACTTGCTGGTGAACTATTAAGATGTAGAACTTGACATGTGCAAAAACAGAATCGTTATGATGTGTCTTGTGATATTACAAAGGTTGTTAAGGTTTAATTGTCATTTTGAAAGAAATAATATCTTGTTTTCTACTAGAGCAGGGGTGTCAAACTCAAATACACAGTGGGCCAAAATTCAAAACTGGAACAAACTCGCAGGCTAACCTTAATATTTATTGAAATATATTTATTCCTCCAGATATAAGAATGAATCTTTTCTTATGGACTCAAACACGTTTTGGTGAAAAACTGAATATGGAACAAGCAAAGCTTAATACTAAACAATATATATATTAGCTGTATAATACCAGTAGACCAGCTCTGATAGTAATTTGGTGTGGCTTCGCGGGCCAAATGTAATTAGGCTTCGGGCCAAATTTGGCCTGCGGGCCAGAGTTTGACACCTATGTACTAGAGTGTCACCACCGTCAGACCTTGTCAACTCCATAATATAGAGTTTTTGTTTATTTTTCTCTTTTGGAGAACCATATAGTTTTCTCTCTCATGATCTTCCAATAAAAATACGTAATTTTCTCAATAAATGTGTAATTTGCTGCTTAATATGACTGTTTCTTATACAGATTAAATACAAGCTTCTGAAAATATGTATGACTGTAACTCTAATAATAAAAAGCCAAAACAATCTTAATTTTAAATGTGGTATAATTACTTTGAAAACATATGTGCATAAACAATAGAATAGAGAAGCTGCTAATAGTCAAAAGAGCTGAAACAACTTAATTTAAAATATATATTTTTGCATTTCTTTGTGTCTGATGGTGTTGACAAAAACCTTGCACTTCTCCAGGAAAAACACAAATTATTAAAAAATGTTACACCTGGGAGATTGTACCAAAACATGGTGAGACAGCCAAAACTTTGTGTAACAATTATATGTAAATATGTTTTTGAAAAATCAAAAAATATATTTTAGAAAATTAAAACCTTTTTTGTCCCTAATCTCAGGAATCACTGATCTGTAAACTGAAACTTTGGCCCAAGAACAAGGTATTGAACTCAACTATAGATTTGAAGAATTGTTACACTCAGTAACAATTCTTCAAAAAGCCCTGCTGTTCAAGCAGGGCTTTTTGGTAAATGCCACCTACATGCTAAAATACCTGCAGCGGTATCCTGGACATGTATTCAAATTAATTAAAATGATAAAAATTGTAACCTGATGATTTACAAAAAAGCAATGGCACCACTGAGTATTTATTTATTTATTTATTACTTCTTTCAATAATTGTCAAGACCCTTCCTGTCTAATAACATAAAGCATTAAACTTTAGGTTTACGACAAATTAAACCATCGCCATATTGTTATGAACATGTACATGTAGAATATCTTAAATGGCATCGTAAAATAGCATTTTTCTGTTCTTACCTACTGGCTGGTAGCCCTGCCTCATAGGACCTCCAAATGGGTTACGACTGCCAAAGGAGCCGCTGTCAATGGAACCATATGACATCCTGCCTGATGGTTGCTGAAGTGTCAGCTGCACACAACTGGGGAGGAAACAATAACCTGAATCAAACGAAAGAACGTAATTTATTTCCACTTTGGTCTTCTTCTAGTGTAAAATGAAATGCACTCCAAGAACTGACAGTAGGTGACAAAGTACACATGGGTTGTATGATGTATTTGTAGATGTAAACCATGTACAGATGGAATCATAAGAGAAAAATTCCTACTAGAGTTATTTTCTGATCTCTGTCGAGAACCAGCGATGTGACTGTTGCTGAATATGGGATAGTTCTTACTATAAAGAATGCAAAAAAACATAAGGGCACATACAACATACTTGCAGCATCCGCAGTTAGCAGTAGCATCCATAATTGTACAATACCAATGTAGTCGATGGATTAAAAATAAGGTTTTGCGTGTCAAAGTAATGCTCATATCTATCCTAGTATGAAAACATTCTACAACTGATTGAAATTTGAAGAAACAACAGCTCAGTATATCCAACGTGCCTATGTCTGTGTTGTAGAGATAGCTGAAGTAGGGCTGCTTAAACTGTTACCAGCCAAACTCTCATAGAATAGTACTTTGCGACTCAAGGCAGGTCTAGACTGCACTGATTCAAGCAACAGAACTGCAAGGAAAGACTCCTGCTTATGTTAAAGGTAGAAATTTATAGTGAGTACAACTGTAAATAGAGCAATGACTCACTTTCTGTAAAGAAACCATTTGAAGGCAAAGAAAACACAAGAACACAAGGACTTTATTTATTCAGGTCAAATGGAAATCACATCACCAAATGATAGTATCTTAACATTGCTTCATGTTATTCATGTTCCTAATTAATATTTAGTCTTTAACATGAATTTTGGGTAACTATAGCATGTCAGGACGTTGTATCACATTGCTACTTCATGTTTGCTTATTCCACAGTTGTGGCCCCCTCTCCCTTCCATATGGCTCGCAGCAATTTGGAGTGGCTAACTCTAGACCTTTAGTGGAAATGTCTTTCTCATTGCCTGTGTACAACTCAACTCTGTGATGTTATAGCCTTATACACTTCATCCATTGCTTAGATTCCTATAAAATGCTCTATTCTGCCGTATATCTGCCTTTACATTGTTCCTACAGCTTGAAATAAGGTCATAAGATGGCAAGCCTATCAATCTTTACAGCAGAGACATGGCAACATGCTCCATTGATGTACAGATTTTTTTTAATAGCCAATGTGGATTGATTTATAATAGCAAAAAATCATTGGATGATGTATTTGAGCCGTTTATAAAATTGTGTACCTGCTACCAGTGGCTTTATACTCAAATGTGTGTGTTGCCACTGGAATGAACATTTTATTTCATGAATTGTCTTGTTTCATACTATGGCAGAAATGCTGGACTCTTGTAGTGACAATTACAGCTAATTTGTGAATATTATCTTTCTTACCTTATCATCAAATTCCTTTACTTGAAAGAGCACTGTTGGTTATATGTAGGTAGTACATTTTAAAGGAACTGGAGCAGCTTAATCCTTCTAACATGCAAGGACTAAAAACACAAGTATTTCAGTGTCGTTAGGATGTTAACCCATAGCCCACTTAGAAAAGTAAAAGAGTAGTGGGCAGAGAATACTTCTCTGAATGCTACAGAAAAGGTCAAAGAATCATGCGAACATGTGTTTCACCAGCGGCCAGAGTCACACAGATGACGCTGAAATCAACAAATCTCTCTGACTGCTTCAGCATGCCTACCAAAGGTCAGAATGTGATACTGGTCAAAGGGCCAAAACTCCTTCTCTGACCGTGAAAGACAAGCATTCAGACAAGCAGGAGAATATGATTACACACTGGAGTCACTGAGCTGCCCATTGTTGTGATGAAGCCAGTGAATCGGACCTATAGGACTGGCATAATGAGAGCAAAGTGGGACAGATACAGATTCACTGGGCCACGAGAAGGTTTAATCCGATTAATTTTCATTGAGAAGGGAGATTAATTACTTTTGGCAGTCCATAAACAATCTTCACTCTGCTTGATTTCAAGCCCAGTGACTGTGACACACATCCCTTATGAAGTGTGGACATGCACCATTTCTGTCTGCATGTAATGTGGATGGATGCACATTCGCATTCACACAAATCTGAATAAACCTCACCCTTCCACCAATGAGTGGAAATATAAATCCCCCACTTGGTTCAGTTGGCTTCTCAGACAAGTAGAAATTGAGGTCAGAGTGGTGGTGAAACTTAAAAATCATTGCTGTGCTATTACTCATGCACATGATGGCATCATCCCTGGTGATGTCACCAGAGCCTGCCCTGTCCTCAGAATCCCAGCAGTCTGTCACATCATCATCACTGTGGTTAAAAGTGAGGCCAAGAGCTGCTTCTGTTCTCTTATTGATAAATAATCATTTATACAGACACATTTGCACAAGGAATGAAGTTGTCATAAAGCCAGACTGAGACAGTGCAAATATCATTTTGCCTCTTTGACAAGCCTGTGTATAAACGGCTTTAACATTGTGGTTCAACCATTGTTAAACTATTGTTAAGTTAAACATACAGTATGAAACCACTGAGTTTAGATAAGGTGCTAAACACTCCTTTACCCTCTAGCAGGTTTTTGCCTTTAAGTTTCTTGTTTTGTTGTTTAGCTGAAACTATGTGCACAGAGCTGCAATTAAGTCTACATCAGTCTGTCAAGATAGGAGAGAATGTACTGACAGCTGCTGATTCTCAGCACAGACTGGATGGACATGATGCCGCATTAACAGCATGCTGAGCGAAACACCTCAGGAATTGGTGATTTATTTTTTTTTAGCATGTGGCAATCTTCGGGAGCAAAAGCTTTTTAATAAATTTGTCGGATAGTGTAAAATCACAACAGCAGTTGCTTTCAGGTGATTTATCCTGTAAAGTAAAGACCCTATAGCAGGGGTATCAAACTCATTTTACATCGCGGGCTGCATACAGCCCACTTTGACATAAGTGGGCCGAACCAGTGAAACTCCCCTTTCTGTCAGTGTAAAGAAGTTACATATTTAACTGTTTTTCTACATGATAAAGAAAAAGCTGTGACAAAGAAAGAAATCTGTCAGCAAATTGTAAGAAAGAAAACTGTAAACTTACAGAAAAAAGTTTAAGTAGCTCATTGCTTAGACTGACCATATTTTTTGTTAACTAAATGTGGAAGAGCAGCGGCTCTACTCTGAGCCCCTCCCAGATGGCTGAACTTCTCACCCTATCTCTAAGGGAGAGGCCAGCCACCCTTAGGAGGAAGCTCATTTCGGCTGCTTGTATCCGCGATCTCGTTCTTTCGGTCACTACCCACAGCTCGTGGCCATAGGTGAGGGTAGGGACGTAGATCGACCGGTAAATTGAGAGTTTCACTTTTACACTCAGCTCTCTCTTCACCACGACGGACTGGTGCAGCGTCTGCATCACTGCGGCACACTCAGCTGCGAACCGTTCCAGTGCAAACTGGAGGCCCTCACCCGATGAAGCCAACAGAACCACATCATCCGTGAAAAGCAGAGACAAGATTCTGAGGCCACCAAAGTGAAAGCCCTCCGCCACTTGGCTGCGCCTAGAAATCCTGTCCATAAAAATTATGAACAGAATCGGTGACAAAGGGCAGCCCTAGCGGAGCCCATCACCCACCAGGAACGAGTCCGACTTATTACCGGCAATGCGAACCAAGCTCTTGCAACAGTTGTATAGGGATCGAATGGCCCGTAGCAATTGGCCAGACACCCCATACTCCCGCAGCACCTCCCACAGGACACCCCGATTGACACGGTCGAATGCCTTCTCCAAGTCCACAAAACACATGTAGACTGGTTGGGCAAACTCCCATGCACCCTCAAGTATCCTCGAGAGGATAAAGAGCTGGTCCAGTGTTCCGCGACCAGGACGGGGCGGACCTCATCCACACCAGGGGGCTCTGCCACCAAGGAGCTGTTTAACTGCCTCAGTGACCTCGCCCCCGGAAATTGGTGGGTCATCCCCCTCATCCCCACACTCTGCTTCCTCCTCGGAAGACGTGTCAGTGGGAATAAGGAGGTATTCCTTCCACCGCCCAACAATTTTCTCAGTCGAAGTCAGCAGCGCTGGGCCAGCACTATACACAGTGCAGGTACAGCACCGCTTTCCCCTCCTGAGACGCCTGACGGTTGGCCTCTCCGAACTCCTCCCACACCCGAGTTTTTGCTTCAGCCACTGGCCGAGCCGCATTCTGTTTGGCCTGTCGGTACCTGTCAGCTGTCTCCGAAGTCCCACAGGCTAACCAAGCCCGATAGGACTCCGGAGGCAGCCTGGTGGCTCCCTTCACCTCTGGTGTCGGAGATTACCACCACGACAGGCACCAACCACCTTGAAGCCGCAGCTCAATGCAGCAGCTTCAGCAATGGAGATGCTGAACATGGTCCATTCGGACTCAATGTCCCCAGTCTCCCTCGGAATGCTTTTGAAGCTCTGCCGGAGGTGTGCGTTAAAGATCTTGCGGACTGGGGCCTCTGCTAGGCGTTCCCAGCACATCCTCACTACGCATTTAGGTGCACCGGGTCTGTCCAGCGTCCTCACCCGCCACCTGATCCAACTCACCACCAGGTGGTGATCAGTTGACAGCTCAGCCCCTCTCTTTACCCGAGTGTCCAGAAGATATGGTCGCAGGTCTGGTGATACGATTACAAAATCGATCATCGACCTGCAGCCTAGAGCGTCCTGGTGCCACGTGCACTTATGGACACTCTTATGTTCAAGATTCAATCAAATTTAGGTTTTCTTTGCTCAAAATAAATTTCTCCTCAAAATGCAACACTTGCACCACCAATTCTTTTTTACGTGCGCTCAAAATTGTTTTATGTGCGCTCAGAATAGTGGCACAAAAATAACGCCATACTTGTTGACAGTGAAAATCCTGACCTTGAGATGCATTATTACAAGAAACATAAATTATAAAGGCTAATGTAACAAAAATAGCACATATCATAATCTTGAATTGCAAGAATTTACAATTTCCATCAATGCTTGGAAAAAAAAAAA